AGATGAGGAAACTGAAGCACGGGTTAAATGACTTGCCCAGGATCTCACAGCTAGTAAGTACTGAGGCCAGATTTGAACTTAGGTCTTCTTGACTTCAGGCCCAGCACCCTGTCTATTGTACCACCTAGCTCCCTATGCTAAATTAAATATTTCAATCTTCAGTCAGTTAGCGGTCTTTATGAAGCATTTACTCTGTGTCAGGCATTTTGCTGGGCATTGCACTAAGAATGCAAACAACAAAATACCTACTTGCCAAGGAGCTTATCTTCTAATGGGGACATAAAAAGTACATATGTAAATAAAAATCAATATAAAGTTAACATACAAACTTAAACAAGGTTGTTAAGTACAAGGTAGTTTGTGAGGGTGGGTGTTAGCATTAGGGGCAATAAGAAAGGCTATTTCTTAAAAGAAGAGCAGTGCTGGGTGGAACCAAGATGGTGGAGTAAAAGCAGTGACTTGCTTGAGTTCTCCCCCAAACCCCTCCAAATACCAATAAAAAAAATGGCTTTAAACAAATTCTAAAGCAGCAGAACCCACAAAAAGACAGAAACAAATTTCTAGCCCAAGACAACCTGGATGGTTGATCAGAAAAGTATATCATGCTGGGCTGGGAGAGGAGTGCAGAACGGCGTGGGCGCGCAGGCCGCAGCGACCCTGGAGCAGGCCTCAGAGGACTGAATCGCGGACAGCTGTGGCGGTTTTCAGACTTCTCAACCCATGAATGCCAAAGACAACTTAGGAGGTCAGTGGGAAAAGTCTGTTTCTGCGGCGAGAGAGAGAAGAGCAGGGTCCTAGCCCCAGTTCCCGAGAGGAAATCCTCCTCACAGTTCCAAGATAGAAAAGAGTGTTTGTGGTCACTCATAGACCAGAGCACAAGCCAGGAAAAGAGTAAACATCTCGCCTCTTATCGTACCACCTTGGAAGAACTGAAAATTTACAGGTTCCTAGAAGTACCTCTGAAAACAGCTGTACAAACCCCCAAAGCTTGGAACAGTACATTCTCCACATTGGAAGCAGACCTCTACCTTAATAAAAGGTTTATAACTCAAGTAATTGGCTGGGATCATGAGCAAACCTCGCAAGAAGTGTCAGACCATAGAATCTTTTTTTGGTAACAAAGAAGATCGAAACATACAACCAGAAGAAGACAACAAAGTCAAAGCTCCTATATCCAAAGCCTCCAAGAAAAATATGAATCAGTCCAAGGCCTTGGAAGAGCTCAAAAAGGATTTTGAGAAGCAAGTAAGAGAAGTAGAGGAAAAATTGGGAAGAGAAATGAGAGTGATACAAGAAAATCATGAAAAACAAGTCAACAGCTTGCTAAAGGAGACCCAAAAAAATACTGAAGAAAATAACACCTTAAAAAATAGCCTAACCCAAATGGCAAAAGAAGTACAAAAAGCCAATGAGGAGAAGAATGCCCTAAAAAGCAAAATTGGCCAAATGGAAAAGTAAGTCCAAAAGCTTACTGAAGAAAATACTTCCTTAAAAATTAGAATAGAGCAATTGGAAGCTAGTGACTTTATGAGAAATCAAGACACTGTAAAATAAATCTAAAAGAATGAAAAATTAGAAAACAATGTGAAATATCGCATTGGAAAAACAACAGACCTGGAAAATAGATCCAGGAGAGAGAATTTAAAAATTATTGGACTATCTGAAAGCCATGATCAAAAACAGAGCCTAGACATCATCCTTTAAGAAATTATCAGGGGCAACTAGATGGCGCAGTGGATAGAGCACTGACCCTGGAGTCTGGGGGACCTGAGTTCAACTTTGGCCTCAGGCATATGATACTCACTAGCTGTGTGACCCTGGGCGCTTAACCTCAATTGCCTTGCAAAAAAAAAAAAAAAAACCGGAGAAGAAAATAGCAAACCATTCCAATATTTTGGGACAGCTAGGTGGCGCGATGGATAGAGCACCGGCCCTGAAGTTAGGAGGACCTGAGTTCAAATCCGGCCTCAGACCAAACACTTGACACTTACTAGCTGTGTGACCCTGGGCAAGTCACTTAACCCCAATTGCCCAAAAACAAAAACCAAACCAAAAAAGAAATTATCAAGGAAAACTGCCCTAATATTTTAGAACCAGAGGGCAAAATAGAAATTGAAAGAATCTACCGATCTCCTCCTGAAAGAGATCCCCAAAGGAAAACTCCTAGGAATATTGTAGCCAAATTCCAGAGTTCCCAGGTCAAGGAGAAAATATTACAAGCAGCCAGAAAGAAACAATTCAAATATTGTAGAAACACAATCAGGATAACACAAGAGTTAGCAGCTTCTACATTAAGGGACCAGAGGGCAGGGAATAGAATATTCCGGCAGGCAAAGGAGATAGAATTACAACCAAGAATCATCTACCCAGCAAAACTGAGTATAATCCTTCAGGGGAGAAAATGGTCATTCATTGAAATAGAGGACTTTCAAGCATTCTTGATGAAAAGACCAGAGCTGAATAGAAAATTTGACTTTCAAATATAAGACTCAAGTAGAACATGAAGAGGTAAACAGGAAAGACGAATGATGAGAGACTTATTAAGGTTGAACTGTTTACATTCCTGCATGGAAAGATGTTATTTATAACTCATGAGACCTTTGTCAGTATTAGGGTAGTTGGAGGGAAAAATTATATGTAGGTATATATAGAGAGAGAGATAGATATAGATAGATAGAGGGCACAGGCTGAGTTGAAGATGAAGGGGTCATATCTAGAGAATAAAATTAAGGGATGAGAGTGGATTATACTGGGAGAAGGAGAAAGGGAGAGATAGAATGGGGTAAATTATCTCACAAAAAAAAAACAGAAAAGAAAAGGCTCTTACAGTGGAGGGGAAATGGGGGAAGGTGAGAGGGAATGAGTGAATCTTATTCTCATAGGATTTGGCATAAGGAGGGAATAACATACACACTCAACTGGGTATGGCAATCTGTCTTACCCTACAGGAAAATAGGGGGAGAAAGGGACAAGAGAACAGGGGGATGATAGAGAGGAGGGCAGATTGGGGAAGGGGGTAATCAGAAGCAAATACTTCTGAGGAGGGACAGGGCCAAAAGAAAGAATAGAATAAATGAGGGGGTGGGATACGATTAAGGGAAACAGAGTTAGTTTTTCACAACATGACTGCTACCGAAGTGTTTTGCACAACTGTACATGTATAACCCATATTGAGTTGTTTGCCTTATCAATGAGGGTGGGTGGGGAGGGAGGACGGGAGAAAATTTGGAACCCAAAGTTTTAAAAACACGTTTAAAAAAATGTTTTCACATGCAACTGGGAAATAAGAAATACAGGAAATGGGGTACAGAAATCTATCCTGCCCTACAGGAAAATAGAAGGGGAAAGGGATAAGAGAAGGGGGGGAGAGATAGAAGGGAGGGCAGACCAGGGAAAGGGATATTTAGAATGTATGCCATCTTGGGGTGGGGGAAGGGGCGAGATGGGGTGAAAATTTGGAACTCAAAATCTTGTGGAGGTAAATGTTGAAAACTAAAAATAAATTTTAAAAAATGAAAGGAGATGTTTAAAAAAAAAAAGCAGTACTGTGAGGCAGAGGTGAGAAGGGAGTGTATTCCAGGCGTTTGGCATGGCTAGTGCAAAAGCAAAGAGAGACGGAGTGTTGCGTGTGTAGAGTCGGAAAAAGCCAATTTGACTGGATTGAGTAATGTGATAGGGAGGAGTAATGTCTATTGAGACTGGAAAAATAGATTGAGACCAAGTTGTGAGGGGTCTTAAAAGCTAAACAAAGGAGTTTATATTTGATTCTAGAGGCAATAGGAAGCCAGTGGTATTGGTTGAGGAGGGGAGTGATAGTGAAATCTGTGCTTAAGGAGAATGCTAGGATGGTCTGAGTGGACAGAGACTTGAGGTAGGGAGACCGGTTAAAAGACTGTTGCAATAAACTAGGCAAGAGGTGATGAGAGGACTTGAACTAAGGGGGTAGCTGTATGAGCAGAGGGAACAGGTAAGATGATAGATACGTCCTGGGGAGGTAGAGAAACAGCAAGATTTTGTAACTGAATGGATGCATGGGCTGAAGGGAGAGTCAAGAGTCCAGAAAAATGCTTGGTTACTGTTTGTTATTGGGTGATCTGACTTGGTAAAGCCTTATGTCTTGGGGGTGGAAAGAAAGAATACTCTCGTTAGACAGGTGTAAAGATTGAAGAAATGCTTTAAAGAAAGTATAAAGCTATATGCCTCAGTATTTGTTGTTGAAATTTGTGACATAGGAATATAAATGCACTGTGCTGGAAATGTCTCTCTTCATCCATATCAAACAAGGAAACTGAGGCTTCTCTTTGGCATGTATTTTGTCATTTATGCTTTCCTTGTAAGTGATCTATTCTAAGGTAGAAAAATTCAGTCTTACAAATAGATACATTGGGCTTGGCAAGTTCATTGTAGAATGATTCTACTTTACAAAAGGATTCATTGGATTTTTTAAGTTTCTGTACTATACTTTAAAATTTTAAAATTTTAAATTTTAAATCAAGCTCTTTGTTATTTAATATGAGGTATTCATGTTTTTCAACTGAAATTGTATGATAGATGGTATGGTATTTAGTGCTTTTAAAAGGTTTTTTTTTTTTTAAATGCCTTTTATCACTTCAACTCTTTGTGCAATAATGGTCATTTTTTCCTGAATGTATCTAAAATCATTAGGACAGCATTTTAAAACATGATTCATTGGGGGTTTTGCTATGACATGATATCAAGACTTATATCCTAAAATGCCTAAAGTAGGAAGGAAAAATAAGGCATTGTTTTTATGCTTTATAAAAAAAGATGTAGTCTTTTACTGTAAACATACAGTGTCTGGCTCTAGTCACCCTTTTATATTTGAAATTTAATTATCAAAGTTAGAATCCAGTTTAGGACATGAGGACACTTCATTTTCATTTACAAGCTATTATTGGCTTACTCTTTAGCAAATTTTAGTTATTTTGCTCTGTAAAAATGTTTGCCTAATGCAAAAGTATTTATTTTTTAATGTTTAGGATAAAGATGGAGATAGAGCTGTTCACCATGCAGCTTTTGGAGATGAAGGTGCTGTCATAGAAGTGCTACACAGAGGTAGTGCAGATCTGAATGCTCGAAATAAACGCAGACAGACTCCACTTCATATTGCTGTGAATAAAGGTCACCTTCAAGTTGTGAAGACGTTACTGGACTTTGGCTGTCATCCAAGTCTTCAGGTAAAATGGGTTTTGAAACATTTCCTTAGATATAGTTAAGATCTTCATAAAGTGATTATCTTAGATTTTAGTAGTAAATGATCTATTCTGTTCTTATAAGATTTCTCTCTATAAAGCTTTAAAAAGTGTGAAATGGAAAATATTGAGGAATACATACTAAAATTGGCAAATAGTTTGTCTTAGAATATAGTATTTCTCTGTCTTAGAATATAGTGTTTCTCTTAGGATATATTAGCAGAAGGTATAGAGTAGGTTTGCTGAGAATTTTTGAAAATTATTTAAAACCTTGCATCTTTTATCAGCCCCACTTCTTATTTCAATTAGTAATGTGATTTATGAAAATGAATTCAGGATCTCTCAGCACTTGGATCTTTCTTCATGGTGGAGTACAGTATATGCCTCTCTCATTGCCTTCCCATAGTACCCAGAGTATAAAGGTTTTTGGTCCAGCAACCTAATTATTCTCTGTCATGTCTGGCTGCTACCAACTGTGGTTTTGAGATGTCTTAGTCCTTGTGCTACTATGACAATGCATAGGAACTTCCCAGGGATTAAAGTTCATTCTCTTGTGTTTAGAAAAAGGAAAAAGGTAAAAACCATTTGTTAGCTGTCTTTTTATAGCTCTTTTATCAAAGGATGGCCCCCAACCTAGCAGGTTGAGCGATGGATTCTTTCCGAATCACTAAGACCCGCTGAGGACCAGTGAACATGTCTGTATCCTCCAATTGGTGATGCATTAAAAATCCCAAATAAAAACTCACTCCCTGTAAGCACATCAAATTGATCAGTGAACTGTCCTGATCAACCTACTTGTATTTAGGTTTTTCTTATAAAATCACTTCAGCTGTTGGTTGTTCTTGTTATAGCATCATACCCTCTGCTCATTGTTTACATAGTAGGAATTTATCCGTCTGAGGAGAAATGACTAGTAAGAATTAATTTTCCTTCTGATTCTTTTCTCATTTTCAGTGAACCTTTTTGTATTTTTACTGCCTTTTTCAGATTCAGACCTTAACTAAAATTCATATTCTTCTTATAAAATGCATAAGCTTCATTCCTTTGACTTTTATTTCTAGCTATAACTAAAATTGTCAAATTGGCAGTTCTAGTTTGGTTCTTGTTTACTATTTCTTTGGTAAGCAAATGGAAAAGAAAATCAGTTTTTTGGACTATCTTATGTCATAAGGATTTATCCTATGTTGTTTTGTTGTTGTTATTGCTATTTTTTAAAGAGAAGGGGAAAGAAATAAGCATTTATAGAGAGCCTACTTTGTGCCAAGCACAGTGTTGAATGTTTCACGAATACCATGTGAAGTAGGTGGTTTTATTATCTTCATTTTACAGCTGAGGAAACTGGGGTAAACAAAGATTAAGTGGCTTGCCGAGGGCCAGGCAACTAGTATGTAAAGCCAGATTTGAACTGAAGTCTTCCTGATTCCCAGCAATATATATGCACTGCACCACCTACCTGCGTGCCTCAGAGGGTTCATCTTAATTTGTCAAACTTCAGAGATCATTTAATGGAGGGGTTCAGTTTTCTGCTCCCGAAATGTCAAATACCAATTATACACATAATATTATAACTCTGAACACTTGCAATAATAATAATAGCTAATTTATATTGAGCTTTAGGATTTATAAAACTCTTTACAAATATTATTTCATTTGTTCCTTACAACAGCTCTGTAAGGTAGTTGCTGTTGTTATCCATATTTTACAAATGAGGAAATTAAAACCCCAGGATGATATAGCTAGTAAGTTGGTGAAGCAGAATTTGAACTTAGATCTTGCAGACTCCAAGTCCAGCACTCTAATTAGCTATTCAAAGTATTTTCCTTTTCCTAGTAACCTTGAATTTCTCTGGGAGTGAGGCAGGACAGGGATAGAAGAAAGGAAGAATGTGAGTCACTAGAATGAGTAGGGCTTGAATAAACAATATTATTTAAAGGATCTTGCCTGGGTACATGGTCTGGTTCCATCACCAGTGTTAGCTGATCACATCAGTCTGAGACCCTGCTTGTTGCCCCCTTGAACCACCAGACTACATTGTAGCAATACCAAGGAGGTAATCGTAGCTAGTAAGAAAAACTATTTTTGTGTTCCTAAGTTTGCCATAGAAGTTTTCTGCTGGGTATTGCTATGTCATGGCCCTCAGGAGCTCACTGTTCATTTTTCTGGGGAATAACAGAGCCTCAACCCCAAAAACCTTGTTCCACAGTGCCTAGGGGCCACCTGTTACGTCCCATGTCTCTGGTATAGGAGAGCAAGGTGATTGTAAGAGAAAGGGAGAGGTTGGTGAGGAATATGTGCTATGACATGCTGTGACATCATTGGTGAAGGTATTTTCTTCCACTGTTAAAACTTTTTTTTTTTTAAAGGCAGTTGGGGTTAAGTCACTTGCCCAAGGTCACACAGGTGATAAGTGTCAAGTGTTTGGTCAGAGGCCGCATTTGAACTCAGGTCCTCCTGACTTAAGGGCCAGTGCTCCATCCTACCTGTGGCGCTATCGCCACCTACCTGCCCCCACTGATAAAACATTTAACCATTCTTTACTTATTCTATAGGTTCTTGTTTTTCCATAAATAACAGCTGACATTTATGTAACTTTTTCAGGTCTACAAAATAGTTTACGTACACCATTTTCTCACTGAATCTTCACAACAACCGTATGAGGTGGGCATTAAGGGTGCTATTATCACCATCTTACCAAGGAAGAATAAAAGATTGATCTACCTTCCTTTCTAGTGTGTGTGTGTGTGTGTGTGTGTGTGTGATTGATTATGTAAATAATCACCTATTGGCTTTTCTACCTGATAAAAGAATGTGTCTTAAGCTTGATGAATTCAGATGAACCTCCTTCAAGAAAAACTGGAATATAGGTATCTATACATCTATACGTATGGATTGACCCTATGATTTCATTGGTATAGGGAAACCCCTGGTGAGAAGACTCCTTTACCAATGTAAGTCAGCACCTTCTCTGCCACTTATAGTCTTTGAAAGTTGTTTGGAGGCACATGCACCTCCATTAACTTTTTAGTAAACTCTTATCCTGTATGTCTGACCATGAGAGAATGCATGCATTTCCTCACAGACAGCTGGCCCAGAACTTTCCCAGTAGGCTTTATTCAATATTTTATCCAGTTATCTAAATGGGAGGGAAGAAAAAGCCGATTCAAGGATCAGAGAGGGTAGGCCTCTCAAATCCCTGTCCTGGAGATTGAGTAGGAACTGTAGTTGACTGACTGAGGGATTGGGAAATACCATAGAGACTCTGGAAATAACTCCTTCCACATCTCTGGTCAGGGTCATTAGAAAAGACAGTTTGTTCATGAATTCTGAAAGAAATAAGTGGTAGAGTCTGTGGCCTTGCAGTTTCTCTGGGTTCTGCCCACATGCACTTATCCTCGTACACACAAATATATTTAACTTTCCTCATATAATCAAAGTCATACCCTGCCATACACACATATACATCGAAGAACACACATGTACACACTCTTCAGATCCTGAGCTTTCTCTTGCTTCCACTATAAGCAGCCAGGGCTGAAGAAATATCTAAAGACTTTCCTTATTAATAAAGTAAAAATAAATAACACTTGAACACAACCTTCCCTGCCCACTACCCATTATCCCAGGGTTACTGAGCCCTCCCTGTCTCTCTAAGCAAACTCTTATTCAGCCCAAGGGCAGTCACCTCTCTTCAAGTGGATAATAGAGTACGTACACATTCCCCAGCGTGGATGCAGTCTTACCTAAGAGCAGTGGTTGGTACCAAAGAATTTAACCACTCTCCAGGAGTGGTTCCCATCTTCATCATAAGCTTTATCCTCCAACTTGCTGAGAAAATGGGAAGAAAAGGGGAAGGACTCAGTGGTTCCCTACCTCCAGGAAGAAGGAGAAAAATGGAAGAGACTTTATTTTCTTGACAAAGATTTTCTTTTCTGCCAGGACTCGGGGAGTGGGAGTAAAAATCGTTGTTGTCCTCAAAACACAGTTGTGAGACCTTGGGGAGAGACTGGTGGCCACTGGTATTGAGGGCAGTCAAGTCTTAGTTGGTCACACTTGAACATGCATACCAAAACCCCTTTCCCCTACTATTTAACCAGCAAAAAGGGGTGCCTGCAGGAAAGGGCTCGGAGAGAAGAGGGATTGAAGTTGAAGGAAACTTTCTGAAAAAAAGGTGCTGCAGTGGTCCTGGCTGCTGCTAGGGTAAAGCCCTGAATTTGGGGTTCATTGTGGTGTAGAGCCGGGCCCTCCCTTCTGGGCTTTGGCGACCTTTTTCCTAAGGCCTGATTTAGGTCACTGCAAGTCTCTGGCTGCTATTTTGGGCCTACAAGACTCTAACAGGGACGTGAGTAATAGATGTTTCTAAATGTCAAAAAAAGAACAAGAAGAAGAAGAAAGTTCCTTAGAGCATTAAGAGGTTAAGTGACCTTTCCAGGGTCACAGTCATTGTGTGTCAGAGGTGGTACTTGAACCCACATCATCTTGACTCCAAGGCAGACCCTATAGTCATAATCTCAGTGATTGTCTTTTATGCCACATCTTTTACATGGTCATTCTTGGCAACAACATGCTATAGTTTACCTAAGTCCACCATTGCCTTTCCTTCGACCTTTGGATTATTTGTAATTTAAATACAAATTTCAACTATTACAGTGTTCCATGCTTCAGAGCTATATTAACCTCAGGGAGAGAATATTGATATTATGTGGGACCTTTTGCATCAGTGAACAGTCTAGGATGATTAAAAATACTGAACATTTCCTAGGTTTTATCTATCCCCATTTCTGCTAATTTAAATGGTTAAATTCTGGGCCCTACTCATTGTCCATCTGCAGCTCCTGCCCAACTTTCCTATTCCTATTGATGACATCACCATTTTCCCGGTCATTATAAACATTGTTTATCTTTTTTTTTTCTGTACCCTCAATCATTTGCTAAGTCTTTAAGATTTTTCTTCCATGTTATTTTGCACCTGTCCTTTCCCTTCCATCTTCCTCCTTGTTTTACATTTTTATTACCTCTCATTTAAACTACCTTCATAGTCTGTGACCTGATCTTTCTACAGCCAACTTCTTACCCTCTCTGGTGTATTTTTTTCATGCTCCTGGAAAAATAGTTTTTCTAATACTTGGATGTGATCATTCTCAGTTATCACCTTTCTCCATATGACTGTCAGCCCCATATGTCCAGGCCTTAATCTTTTTTATTGGGTTTCGATGCTTTGTCACCAACTAACTACATGCTGTGGACACTTCTACCTAGATATCCTATCAGCAGCTCACATTAACCATGTTCAAAACAGAACTAGTTATCTTTCCACCTAAAGCTACCCATTCTTCAAATTTCTGTATTTATTTTAATCCATCCCAGTTAGGCATGTTTGTAACTGTCAAACTTGACTCTTGTCTCTCCCATGATTTCAGTGTCCAGTCAGTTGTTAAATCTTGCCAATTCTGTCTCCACAATTTGTCTTGTATTTGTCTTCTTCTCCTGTTCTAATATCACCTTTTGCCTGAACGATAGGAATAACTTGCTTTGAGTGTCTTCCCCTCCATTCTACTCTCTGCTTTCCTGAGACTTAGACCTTTTTCATGAAGCCTTCCCCTATCCCCTTGTTGTTAATGTTATCTATCTCCTGCCTTAAAATATTTTGAATTTATTTTTGTACGTACTGCATCTCTTCCAGTAGCTGCTTAAGGGGTAGGAACTGTTCTGTGTATGTCTTTGTATCTCTGTTGTCTAACAGTGTTCTATACTAGTAGGTGCTTCAATTTCATTTTAATTGAATTGAAAAATTATAGAGGCCCTCTATAATCTGTCTTGGTCTGTTTTCCCTCTGTATCTGTTGTGCCTTCCAGCTGAACTCACTACTACTCAAACTTTCTATTTGAGCTTCCCCACCAGTAAAACCAGAGGATTGGACTTGATAACCTTTAACATCTCTTCCAGCTCTAAAATTCCATGATCTGTACATTTGTGCAAGACATTTTCCACAATTCTCTCCATTGCCCTCAGTCTCTTGCCTTTGAAATTCTTCTGTCCCTTCAAGACCCAGCTCAGGTATCAATGCCAAGCCTTTCTTGTGCCTTCTAGCTAGAAGCAGTTCCTCACTTGATGCCGTGCTTTTTTTTTTTTGGCAAATTTTAAAATTTGTTTTAAACTTAAATACAAAGTGAGAAAAGGAAAAAAAAACATTGCCGTGTACACAGCAGAACATGAGAGGATTCTCATGCCATACTTTTTTGACTTCTTTTGTACTTATATTCTGATTTGTAGAATGTGTTATTTATTGTTATATTAGATGGTTGGCTTCTTTAGGCCAGGGATTATGTTGCTTTTCATCTTTTCATACTTGGAGTCTCAAACTGTGTTGACATGTAATAGAACCTTAATAAATATTCGTTGAATTGAGTATAGGTAAATACACCATTAGGATGGAGATGCCATAGTTTATATAACAAGGTCCATATAGTAGGAGAGTATACTGTACAGTGGAAAGAGCATTTGTTTTGTAGTCAGAGTACTGGGGCACCAAATTCAGCCTAATGCTTACTATACATACAAGGGTAGTGACCCTAGGCAAGTTAATAGTGCCCTCCCTTCCCTCTTCCCACCCCTTCCGCCCCCTCAGTGTCCTCACCGCTAAAATGTGGGGGTTAAATTAGGTAGCTTCTGAAGTCCCTTCCAGCTCTGGATCTGTGTGCTTTGTTAGTGTGTGGAAGAGAGAAGTGATTATAGGAGTTTTGTAGAAATTTGAGGGCTTTGGACATGACTCGAGTGTGACTGGGAATTATGCATACATATAGTAGACAAAGACATCTTTTTGTTGACTTTAGGTTGATTGTATTAGGGGTAACAGCAGACTAATCAAAGGTGAATTAATGAAGGGGTTTTAGGTCAGTGCTAGTAGGGCCTAGAGCAGGTACAAATTTGATAGAGATTTTAAAGATAGTACATACAGATAGGGGAAATACTGTTGTTGGTTGGTCCATTTTCTTATTGCTAATTTTTTTCGAGAAGACTTTTCAATTTATATTTTGCTATTGATTAAGTTGTATCACTGAAGCTTGTTTCATTTCCTCTTGATTTTTTTCATTGTTTTGCCTTTCTGCAGTATAATACTTCTAATTATGACTGCCTGTTACTTATGAAGTATGATTTTTGTGTAAGGTAAAGTGTCCATCTGGAACTTAAAAAAAAAACCCAGTTTCTACACTGTATATTAAAAATATCACATTAATAACAGATGGAATATGATCTTTTAATTTTTTTTATCAGTTTTATCTCTAATAGTCATAATATTTTGAAGTCATTAAGTACAGGGTTATAAGTTGATCTGTAACCTTTTAAAAAATTTATCTATTAAGGATTCTGAAGGTGATACACCCCTCCATGATGCGATAAGTAAAAAACGTGATGATATCCTTGCAGTCCTTCTAGAAGCTGGGGCAGATGTTACAATCACAAACAACAATGGATTTAATGCTCTACACCATGCTGCGCTACGAGGAAACCCCAGGTAAAGATGTGATATTTAACCTCTTTTTGGTTATGTTATATATTTTATTTATACGCACACATACACACACACACACGTATATATACTTGAATTTTTTTATTTATTAGGATATAGCTACTGTTAAAATAACTATAGATTACTTAAAGTGTCTACCTCAAATCTTGGTAATGGTGATTATGATACTGACTAAATTATTTGTTAAATAATCATTCATTCATTCATTCATTATGATTATACTTGTTTAATAACTTTGTTTCCTTTGTGTAACCTTTTCCTTTTGGTTGTTATACTAACAAAGCTATTGTGAAGTAAATTAAGAACATAAAAACCTGTCTATAAAAATATTTAGTGCATTTATTTAGAACAAATGTTTAATTGAAGCAAATTGCGTTTTGAATTTTATGTTTTTGTGAGATTAGTTTGCTCAGCTCTGATGGTAGCTATCATGTTTGATGTAACTGCCTAGTTCTTGTAAGTGGTAGTTAAATACTTATTGCCCCATTATCCTGAACTTTGTTTAAAGGTTACAGAGAATGTATTATAATTACATTAGATAGCTAAATTTATAACCAAATGAATGGTTACAAGAAAGGAGAGGGGAAATTGATGTGTGTTACTAGTTGACATCTCTTGTGAAGACTGCTATTAGGCAAATGTTTGCAAGTGAAACTGTTTTGGTGTGCATTTTGTTTTTTTCATTGTACCAAATGAACAGATATTAAACCACAAACCTCTTCTTTTTAAAATTTCCCCATTTCCATAAGTGTCATTGCCACTTTCTTATTTTCCCAGATCCAAAGATCCAAAGAGTCATCTTTATTTAGTCAGTTGCCAAGTCCTGTTAATTCTGACTCTGCACTATCTCCTGCACTTGTTTCCTCTCCACTCATAAGGCTACTATCCTGTTTTGGGCCCTAGTCAAGTCTTTCTTGGAGTATTGTAATAGTATCCTAATTGATCTTCCTGTTTCCAGTCTCATCCCTTTCTAATCTACATACCACATAGATGCCAGAATCTCTTGATAAACATGTTTTACTTTGTCACTAGCCTGCGCAGAAACCTTCATTAGTTTCCTGTTGACTCATGGATAAAATATAAAATCAGTGATATAGTGTGTACAACATGGAGGTTGGAGTAGCTTTATCATCATCATCATGAAAAGTGGTCTGTGGTTTGCAAAGTGATTGACAAATATTATTTCATTTTACCCTCACAGCAACCCTGGGAGATAAGTGCTATTGTTATCATCCCCATTTTACAAATGAGGAAACAGAGGCAGACAGAGGTTAAATTATTTGCCTAGAATCACATAACTAGTTAGGTGACTTCAGATCTAGCCCATGATCCACTGCACCACCAAGTTGCGTCCTTTTTGGTTGAAGTGTCTGTGTCTGAAGAGTTATTATTTTAAAAATTAATTGAAGAAATCAGTCTAAGAAGGACCTTTTTTCTCTCAAGATCCCTAGATAAGATGCCCTCTATTGTCATTCCCCCAACTCTCCATTGGAATGCAAACTCCTTGAAGGAAGACACTGTTTGTTTTTGTTTTTATGTCTCTTATATCCAACAGCATCTAAAATACTTCTTGATAAATAGTTACTGAATTGAATTAAATGCTAGGCTGAGAAATTTGAACTTAGGAGACTCCAGCATAAATTGTCAAAAGCTCTAAATTTTTGGAATTGAATTAAGTAAAGTTTTATTTTGTTGAATAAATGCAATAGTAAAAGATAAGAATGACATTGGGAAATGCTGTCTTCGGTTTCAGAGAGATTCCTCAGATGTAAAATGCCATTTCAGAAAGCTTGTTAGTGGTTTTTGAGTATATATGTTACTACATGCCTAGACCTGTTTCTCACCTCTGACATGGCAGCCACTCTGGTCATTTCCTCAGCATTTAAATTATTGCAATAACCTACTGGTTGTTTTTCCTGCCTCATATCTCTGCCTACTTCAATACATCTTTTACTCAGCTGTCAAATTGATCTTCCTAAAATGGAATTCTGACCATATCACTCCCTTATTCAGTAAACTCCAGAGGCCTCTTACTACTTCCAGGATCAAATATGAAATCCTGTGTTAGACTTTCAAAGCTTTTCATAATCTGGCCCCTTTCTATCTTTCTAGTCTTTTTGCACTTATTCCCCTTCATGTACTCTGGTATCAAAGGAATACTGTCTTCCTGGCTGTCCTTGCACACACAAGGATCTCCTAATTTTGATAGTTTTCACTATAGTTGTCTCTTTGTGCCCGGGATGCTCTCTGTCCTCATTTCTACCTCCCTTGCTTCTTTAAAGGCTCAACCAAAGCCCTACCTTTGGCTAAAAAGCCTTTCTCAGCATTCCTAAATCTTAGTGTCTTCCTGGGGTTACCCCCAATTTATGCTGGTGTATAGTAAGTGCTTAATAAATGTAAGGATTGATAATGCAGAGAAAAGACCACTCTCCTATACAAATTCTAATCCTATACAAAGGAAGAAATATTGACTTCTTCCATAGCTTTTGCCTCTTCCTAACTTTTTAGGATTTACTTCTAAGAGTTTTCAGGCATACAGCACTCTTAGCCCAACAACTACTGATGATAGATTATAGGATTGTAGAGGTCATCTAGTCCAATGCTGTCACTTGATAGATGAGGAATCTGAACCCCAGAGACATAAAGTAATTTGTCCAGAGTTGTATAGGTAATAAATCCAGTATACAAACAAACCTAGATCTTCTGTACTCTACTCCACAGTACCACACTGCTATTTTAATGACAACAAAAAAATACCTCTGCTATCTGGACTTGGCAGTGTTTCATTTGAAGAGACAGTATATATCCCTGTCTACTTTATACATTTCCTATAGTTGGCACTAATGGGTTGCTGGGAAAGGATCATGGATTGATTTGCTCATAGAGAAACAGTCCTGAATATCTGTCTGCTCTAATTCTAAGCTTGCCTCTTAACGATGCATTTTAATAAAGTCTAAGCTTCATGTCTTAAAACTTGCCATTTCTTTTCCTTACTGAACCATGAAAATAATGAGGATTGAATAAAGCCAGAGTAGGAAGAAGGATCTGTTGCTGATTTATTCTGAATTTGAAAAAATAATTGTGTATGGTCATTTCACTTAGTGTTTAGAAAATCAGATTCGTTCATTAACAAAAATTTATTAAGCACCTACTGTATGCTCAGATTGTTATTTCTAGAGTCCAGAAAATATCTGCTTACTTCATTTTGTCAGTTGGTTTTATTCCCATTCTTTGAATTTTCCATATTCATTTTTCTTACAGTGTAATGATTTTCCATTACTTCATGTACCAGTTTTTTAGCCATTCCCTAAGCAATATGTTGCTCTTAATTTTGTGATTATTAGAATTTATGCTATTTTATTTGTTTTCTTACGCTTTAAGCAAAATGTTTGTTTCCACACTAAACTTCTTGGTATTCACAAAGATTCATGATTGAAATTAACATAGTTTTTAGGAAGATACCCATTTTAAAATTTTCATTGTAATATTAAAAAAATCTTTGAAAGTTTCCAAAACTTTAAGAGTCAAAGGAATTTTAACTAGGATATCAGCCCATACCCTTTCTTGTGTTCTTTTTTTCCTTGACCTGTCAGAATATGATTACTTCCTACCTGAAATGTGATGGAATATATATTTAGCTGTTCCTCTTGAAAATGAGACATTCATAATCTGCCAACATATTTTTCTGAAGATATGGATGTCTTATCTTTTTTTAAAAAAGTATTTCTAGGTTAGCAGCCATCAGTCTGCGATGGAAATAAAATGCTTGGTGATAACATAGAACAGGGCAAACAACATACAGCCCAAGGGACAGATCTTCTACCTTTAAATACATTAAAACTGTATTTTAAAATGCAAAAACCATTCTCAGCTTTTTTGTGCTGTATAGAGAAACAAGCTGTGGACCAAATTGACCTTAGTTTGCCAACCCCTGCCATGGATTATATTCAGACAGGCCTTAGTAATAATAATAATAGCAATAAACATTATTTTTAAATGGCTAGCATGTATATAGTGTTTTAAGGTTTGCAAAAATGTTTTACATATGTTATCAGATTCTTGCAACCCTGGTAGTCCTTTTACAAATGAAGAAACTGAGCCTGAAAGAAGTTAAATGGATTGTTCAGTGTCTGAGGTGGAATTTGGATTCCGGTTTTCTTGATCTAAGTCTATTGCAATCTTTGTTATTTGTCTGGTAGTTAGCAAGTAAGCAGCTTACCACCTAATAGCAAGATAATTTTGTTTTTTGTTGCAAACTCATTCCTTATATTACTTTGGGAAAGAAAAATAGGAATTTTGAATTGGATAGGTACTGAGCAGTTTGCTTCATATGTTGACATTTTAAAATATTCTGGATAATGTAGGAATTACACATAGCTATTTAGAAACTTGGATAAAAATTGTATAGAAAATTACTTTTTTTTTAAAACCAGATGTATGATTTCATTAGTGTAGGGAACTAATGATAAGGAAACTACCTGTACCGGTTTGGATTGGCACCTGCCTTACCAAACTCTAGAGAATCTCCTGGGTCGTTTAGAAGTTGTGACTTGTCCAGATCATATGTTGGCAGTATGTATCAGAAGAGCTTAGGGTCTCTGACTCTGAAGCCAACTCTTTATTTACTATGTCATGACTGCCTCTTTTTCCTTATTTTTTTCTTTTCTTCTCTTTAACATTCTTTTTAAAAAGTTTGAGTTCCAAATTCTTTCCCTCCCTTCAGCCTCTCCTCCACCTATTAAGAAGGCAAGCAATATGCTATCAATTATACCTGTCTTTCATTATTTTAATCTGCTATTTATTAAGATTCTTTTTCTCTGTGTATCTCCCCCTGCCTTTAAAAAAAAAAAAATCAGGTGTTTCAGTCCTAAAGGTAAATGACGTTACCAGTGGTTTCTTCATTTGTCAGATTGGAATCTAGCCAAGAATTCTTAATAGTCACCAAAAGATGCATGTTAAGACTTAGCTGAATTGCCAACCAAACT